AGCACCGTTTTTCATTAAAATGTAAATAAATATTCTAAATTTTTTTATCATTCATGAAAGCACACGATATATTTGAATATGCTTTTTCGTATTCTAAAACTTATATCATTTTTCATGAAAATATTAATAAATATTTTAAAAATGTATTGCAAACAAAAATTCTAAAAATTTTAATTTTTTCAAAAAACACATTAATGATCATTATTATTATGTGTAAAGCTTAACCACACCAACTCAAAGCATAAAGAAAAATAATTGAACACCAACAAATATTCACTTATAAGCAAAATAACACTTGAAGCAAGAAATTGAATTCAAATATTCATTTATTATATCACGTAATTTATATAATAAGAGTCACAAAAAGTGGATTTTTATATCCTGAAATATGCATATGCATATAATCATGTATGCTTTATAAATGAAAACAATTTCATATACATAAACATTTACAAATATCACATCCCAACAACACTCATGATCTATTCATCTTAGCCTCCGTCTTCTCGTGCATCTGGATTGTCACCTTCTTCTCCCACTTTATCCTTGCCTCCTGATTCTCACAAATATACAATGCTTCCATCTTCTCCAAGACTTTGTCACATGGAAATTACCATGAATGTACAAACAAATAAGAGTAACTAGTCAATATTAACTGCCATGGAAACAAGGCAGTACAAACCAGAGAAGCATTGGACAAAACAAAGGCCATGGAATTCTTCTCCAACTGCACAAACCAGAATTATCCCAAAATTACATACACCTGTTATCCCAAGAAGCTACTAGTTGAACTGCCCAAGGCAACAAAAAAGTGACAGTTTCAAGCCAGAACACGGTTCATTTGATAAACAAAGAAAAAGAGCACATTAGAGTAATTAAAGCCAATAACTATTTAACCACACACCTGCAAGTCATGTCCAGGGCACATGAGAAAATAATTAAACCATAGTCCATCTATTAGGTAGTAATTCTGGAACTCACCCTAAGATTTAAAATTAAACAAGTTGGCGATCATTAGGGAAAAAAAATGAATATGCAAGTCTGTCATATCTTGAATTTGAATGCTACATCTACTTACTTAATGTTTTGTAAGTATTAATAGAAGGATTATATTAAAGGATCAGAAGATCAGTACCACATCAAAACCGATGAACAAGGGGAATCCCAATGACTAGCGAAGCTTTTGACAAGGGAAGCCATCCTTATTTCATAGCAAATGTTAAGGCAATTACAACATAGGCACAAAAAGAAAGAAAGAGATTAGAGATGAAAAATCCTGCTTAAACTTGGAAAGGAATGGTTAAATGTCTATTTGAAGATTAACAAATCTGTATACTTGAAGAATAGAAACATAATTCCTAATGGATTGGTAGCAACAGCACTATTACTCAAATCAGCATAAGATGGAAAGAATTCAGGGAGAGAATTATCGAAGAACAACTGAAAAATAAATCTCCTACTAATTTGGACAGTTATATGATTAAATTCTAAATAATCAAAATCTTCTACAATCAACTAGAATCATATCTCATCAACACTTACCAATGATGAAACTTAATGTGGATGGAAACCCGGGATCAAAAAGTAAAAATTGAAGGGAAATAGATGCCGGGGGGAATTCAAATCTAGATTCGAAGTTAGATTGAACAAAACCGATCTCGCCTAATTAAAAGTTATGCTGTGAAAATTGCTGTGTAGGGAATGAAAGAATTGAGCATCGAGGGAATCCATGACCATGAGGCACCGGAAAGGGGGGTGGAGCTAGAGTAGTTTGGGTTTCGATGAAACCAAAATGGGTTTGTTTGTGAGGCAACGCCTGAGAGGAAGAGAAAGGGCGAGAAGAAAACGTTCCAGGAGGTGCGGAGCTTTGTGATTTTGATGGATTCATCAAGAAATAGAAAACTCCCTACGATTTAAACCGTCTTCGCTCTTTCATCCAGTGTCTTTAAAACCAAATCTCACCTCACTTTCCTTTGTCACCACCGCCATCGAAATCGAATCCACCCATTATCGCCTTCAAAATCATGGAGCTGTGGCTGAACGATGTGCACGGGAGCGGAGCAGGACAGATGAAGGGGAGCCAAAGGGGAAAGGATTTGATCAAGGGCATTTAGGGTTTTTGCTCATTTCATTTATTGACATAGCAGGATGCAAGTCCTTTTTCAAATTTCAAGTTCTTATCAACAATAAATATTATGGTAAAGTTTTTTTAAATAATTTTACTTAAAAAAATATGTTAAGTAAATATCATGAAATTTTAAAAACTAAAATTTAAAAATATTAAAAAAATTAAAGTTTAAAAATATAATATTTATTTAAAATTATTTTTTAAGAATATAATTTATCAAGATAATTTAAATTTATTAAAAATTAAAAAAGAAATTACATCAGTTGAAAATTACAAAGGAAGAGAGAGTGGGGATTTTTATTTAGACAACATTTGCAAATTGAAGAAGAAGTTTTTTAAATGTATCTATTCCACTAAATCATATTCTAATGTTGTTAGTTTTAATTGAGAATAGTTTTTTTGTAAAAATATTTTTTATTTACATTAACTTATCGTGATCTTATATTTAAGCGGTTATAATTTATGTTAAAACCAACACTTGTTAATTATTCATTTAACCTTATTTATAAATTATTTTTAATATATTTTATTAAGATAAAAATAAAATATTAAAACTTGTTACCTCAGACTTAAATTTAATAAATTTTTAACTTTAATTTTATTAATTATATTTTTTTAATAAGCTATTTGATCTCATTAACATTTAATAAAGGATAAAAATAAAAAATTATAATACGAATTTAATGAATTGACTAAAGGAGAAAAAAGATCTCCCCTATCCACCTCACAGCACATGAAGGGTTAGGGTGTGTATATATAAGTAGAGTTTGAAATCTGATTCTCACGTCCCGTCCAACACTGTCTTGCGAAGTTAATATTTATTTAATATTCACTTTACATTACTTCTTATCTAAATTATAAGATTTTTCTTTCAATTCATTTTAGTTCAAAATATAAAAATTTTAATAAATTTTAAATTTATTTATTTTACTATTATATTTATTAATTTAATTTGTTTTATAACTTTATTAATATTTATTACATTTTTTTTATTTTTTATGATAGTTAAAACTTTATTGATTTGTTAGGATGTTGACCTTTCTTATGTCATAATATTTCATTAAAAAAACATTACCTTTCATTTAATTTATTATTTACAGTTAAAAAAAATAATAAAAAAAACTTATAATATTTATAATTAAAAATAGAAATATAATTAAATTTTATTAATATTTAAATTATAATTAAAAATGTCATATATTTTGGATAATCTTTAATATCTTGATTCATCAAAGTCAAGCATGTAAAACTCTAGTTTACATTATAGTACCATCCTGCCCCTTCTCTTTATCAAATTTCCAGGGCGACTCCCCCTTAAAGTTGATGGGTATACTTGTAATTTCGTTAGTGCGGCTCCCGCGTAAAATCACACGGTCTTTGACACCTTCGGGCAGTCAATTTACACGCCTTTGGCTCATTGAAATCAGAACCCCACTCAGCAACCAGCGCCCATGTGCCATTCTATGCTATACCAACTGATTCAGCCTATCGAAAGCGGTGAAGCAAGTGATGATGATATGGATTGAGGTCAAATTTTGTTTTCTATTTTTTGTTTGTAACAGCGTTGGTCACCTTATATTTTTAAGCGTGGCAAAGTTTTTTTTTTTGAACTATGTCTCAAGAGAGCAAAAATTCTCCCATTATCTAGTAGATTGTCATTGTGTGGGGCTCAGGAAATATGATTTGGCTTTCAATATGTGGAAGTTAACATTTTGACCGTCTGGGCGTCCCATTTGGAGGAGAGGGACAGATGCTATTAAAACTTTACTCATGACACGAAGCAGACGAGATCAGAGAGCAAAACACAGAGCAAGCAAAGAGAGGGTTATGCAGGACTTCTGCTTGGCAAATCCACTCCCTGAATGAGAACTCGGACCAACTGATTTAAAAGCTACAAACCCTCAACGATCAAAGTATGTTTGCTACTATCCACCACGGAGACTTTGGAGATAGCAGCAATAGTCTTCTCCTTTGTCTCAGAATAACGGAATCCAATAAGCAAATAAGCACCGGAACCAGCATTCTTATCATCCTCTCCCAGTAAATCCAACAAGGAGTCCATCGCTGACTTCTTGGACTCAGCAAGACCGATTTAAGACGAGTAATCAAGTTCCTGGATTCAGACGATATGGCCTCTCTTTTAGACGAGCTGGAAAGGGCACCGTCTTACAAAGCCCTACTCCTGAACATAATCTCATGGCGATCCAGCTTAGCGATGACCGAATCAATGTCGCTCTGAGTTTTGAGCTTTCCTTGGGATAAGTTGGGGGGACTGGCATTCTTTGGCTAGTGAAACGGCATCGTTAAGGGTGTGCGAAACTGACTGAAGTAGCTCAAGTGACAAAGAATTGGACGAGTAATTAGGAAGCTCAAAGGAGAAATCTGTGAGCTGAGTATGGAGATCGAAAAGTTTGGCTCTAATCAGAGACCATTTACCCTTAAAGTTAACAGCAGTGGGAATCTCATCCAGAAGAAAAGAAAGGAGCTGAATGGAGCCATTGAGAACTTCGTTCTTTGACTCTTTCATGGCGGAGGCTCGCAGTTCAGCAAAATTGTAGTGTAGAAATTAAATGGCTTAGACTTCACAACGATGAGAGGGAGAGAGAATAGGAGGGGGAGAGAGAGAGGGAAGTGATGTGGGTGTGTTGCATGCTCTAGATGGTCAAAATGTCAACTTTCTTCTTTGGCCCCGTACAATGAAAAGTCATTAGATAATCAGAGAATAAATCACCAATTGATAAAAAGGGATTGTTTGCTCCATTATTAATTAAGAAAAAATTTATCCAACTCAAAAGTACAAAATACACAACGCCCGTAGTGAAAAAAACAAAAGGATACAATTAGACTTTAACTTTAATTATATCCTGTCCTTTTTGAGTTCCCATGTTTAATTATCTTGCCCTCCCCATTTGATCACCTCACTGTCACACCCCTGTTCTGTTCATAGGCGCGTTAACTCGAGGAGAATATTATTCTCTCTTTACTCTTTCCCCTCCTCTCTGCAGGCATACCTCACAATAGATCAGAATGGATGGAGGAAGGAGGAAGAGGATATTGGATGGCGAGGAAGAAGATAGCGAGGAGCAGAAGATGGAGAAGTTCTTTGCCTTGATAAGAAGCACCAAGGAGGTACGTGATCGCCTCTCTAAGGAGAGAGAGAATAACAAGAAGTCGGAGGAAGACAAGTTTAAGAATGTCTGGAACCCGTCTTTTCAACCCGAGGATTTCATTCATGACTATCAAGATTTGGGAATTAGAAGCACCCACCCAGCTGGTGGTCCTTCCAGTGAGAAGGAGGTCGACGCACAAGATAAAGACTCAGAGCCAATCGCAGAAACTGCGCCGCCGCCAGCACCACCGCATGGAGAAGAAGATGAGTTAGACCTGAATCTTTCTTTATAATAACGTATTGTGCTGATTTGGTTATTGGACTGCTGATCATTGATTGTCACTTTGAATGGTTTAGCGTCGGCGATGAATCATCTAGCTTCGTAAATCGGAGTGACCGACTTCTTATGTCCCCAGTTATGTTGTTTTAATTCACTCGTCACAAGTTCAATGGAACAATTTCTTCTTCTTTTCCTTAATCCCTCGTAGGCCGTAGCTCTGTTTTTGGATAACCGTAACACCACTCTCTCGTAACTCCCAAGTCTGAACGAAAGGAATTGCAGGATTCTAGCTGCATGCTCCATCAATTCTTAGATGTTTTTAACCAAATTTTACGTATCAATAAAAAATTATTATTTAATTAAAATCATATAGAGCTGTAATGATTTTCTAATTTTGTTTCTAACAATATTATAATTAATATCTTGGAAACGGTAGGTATCCGTATCACACAGAATTAGCCGTGGTAGTTTCTTCAATGTACGTTTTCCATCTGCCGGAGTATACAACACTTTTGGTGCTAGTCCAGAAAACAGAATCTTTTGCCCAAAAAAAAAAAAAACTTATCAGTAAATTTTTCTTTTTTCCAAATATGCTTGTTAATTGTATTATAGAAAGAAATTATATAAAAGAAGTTTAAAATAAATAAAATATATTAATTTTAATTAGAAGGTAATACAGAATTAAAAAATAGTGATAATTCTTTATAATTTTGAGGATGCAAACCACTTTTAATTTTTTTTTAATCCATCAGAAATAGTTAAAAGTTTCTATATTTCGGATTTTTTGAAGAAATATTTAAATTCTTAAGGCATTGGTTGGCCAATTTGGCCGGTCGAAATATCTTTATTTATTTAAATAGAGACCGTAAATCAATTAAGAACTATTTCGTCCATCCGGTTGAACATAATGATATTGTTGAAAAAAGTTAGCTTTTTTCTTTTTTGGGAAGTACCCCTATCTGTAATGATAATTAATTTTTTTTTGCAGTTCCAACTACACTCTTCTAATTTTGAACAAGAATTGCATCATACTTGAAACTAGGTACTTTTTGCTTACGATAAAGGGAAGGGAGCATTAAAGCCATACAGTAGTTGTTCTGGGAGATAAAAATTGGAGGGAAAAGGGGATTCTGATCACGTGCAGCGTCTAGGAAGTACCTTCACTATAACTATTAGATTGATCTTGTTGTCGAGAGAGGCATTGGCGTAAAATTAATTTAGTACCTGTAAAAGTACAAAAACAAATCGATGGACTTCAAAGCCACGAGCACGCACCCTCCATTTTTTTCTTGGATGGAAATGGAAGACTTGAAGACGAGGCCGTTCAGTTTTTTCTTGCATCATCGTCTTCGATACAAGGCCTGAACAGGTTGCAGCAAAGTTTTTAGCAATGGCTAAAGTAGAGCAGCGACAACAACATGAAAGGGCAAAGGCTATAGGTTTGAAACTATGTCTCCTAGGTTCTGGTTTTGAAGGTTCTAGGTCGAGTTTGAACTTTGAAGGGAAGCAATGGGCAGCAGAAATGGTCCAAACTTCTAATCTTGTCCGGCTTGCTTTGCGGTGCTGACGGGGGTTTGTAGGTGTTCGATTATGATAGTTATGCTCCTCAACGGATTTTTTTTTTGTGGGCTACAGATTTAATGTGTGTTTGGTTTTTAATTTTTTAAAAGTTAATTTAATAAAAATTTATTTAATAAAAATTAATTTGATAATAGTCGGTTATTGTAATAAAATTTATATTTAAATATATATTTTTAAAAATTAATTTAACAAATTAAAAGTTGTTTGTATTAATAAAAATTTATATTTTTAAAGTGTATTTTTTAATATGTAATGATAAAAAAGGATATTAATTTATGATAATTTATAATTTTTATTATATAAATATAATAAATTAGAAGTGTTTAAACAATGTGAAACAAATTTAAAATAACATAAAATTTTAAAAAATGTTGAGTACTTTAAATTTAAAATTTAAAATTTAAAAAATATATAAAATTCTCCTAATTGATATTTCATTTGAATTAATTCTATAACAAATGAACAATTATATTTTATTGTAACTTGTACAAATATTTTAAAAATTTAAAGTCTGAAACCTTCTTAGCAATGGATTAATTTTATTTTATTTTAATAATGAAGAAATTATTAAAGATGCCCTTAGTGTAAAAAAAGAAAAATTTTGGAAATTTTTTTGTAATTTATCAATTGTTTTTTGTTTAGATTTGTTCCCTCTTATGCAAAGAACAGGCATCATTTAGCATCTTGTTCATTTTCCTTCTTTCCATCAGCAGCAAGTTTCTTCCTTTTTCTTTCTCTTTTTGTTAAGCATCATTAAGCTTCCTCCTTCACCATTCAGCTTGCCATCAACAGGTGCATCATCTTCGCCTTAGTTGTTGTGAAGTTCTACTGTGCATCATCTCCATCGCCAGATCAGGAGCTTGGGGAAGGAAGAATGGATAGAGTCAGATATGTGACTAGACAGCAGGGGAGAGATGGAGGACAAACACCAGAGCGACAGTGAACTAATGGTGGAGCAACGGCGGAGCGAGACAAGTGACACACATACAGAAGAGAAAATGAGATGTTGCGAAAAGCACATTGAGCAAGTCGAGCATGAGAAGACAAAACTGATAAGGGAATATCATGGTCATTTTAAAATAATAGGTATCAATAATTAATACATGTTGTTCGAATTGACATTCAAAAGCTACAAATCTCAGCTTTTGAATTTTTTTTATTCTAAACCATTTTCAAAGTCCTTTTTAAAAGTGAGTTCCATATAATTTTTGAATCTCAAATAATATTTAAATGTCAAAAGCAATAAAACCAAACACACCCTTAGTTACTTTTTGTCTTTTCCATATGGATTTTAAGTTTTAGTTGATTTTATGTTTCCCATATGATTTTAGCTGTGTTTTAGTTGATTTTGTTGCTCATGGATGATGGGCATTTTGCAGATAACAAGAACCGGGATTATAAATCAACTCTAAATATCATGGAAACCAAAGCTTTGAAATTTCAGATTTTGTGTTGATAGCTATTAAATTAATTTTACACTGATATCTCTCTCTCAACCATAAGATCAATCTAATGGCTAATATGAAGACACCTCCCAAACACTTCAGGTTAGCCGCTGCATGTGACCCAAATCAAGAAAAGGCTAGGGAATACTCTTCTAATCTTATTTATAAATTATATTTTAAAAAATTTACTTAATTTTATTTATAAATTACAATATATCTTTTTAAGTAATATTTAAAAAATATTTTTAATATTATCCTTCATAAGAGAGAAAAGGTAACATAACATTATTTTTTAAATTTATTATATAGGAACATATTTTAAATTTTATGCACTTTTATTCTTATATTTTTTATATTAATATTAATAAAATTAATAAAAATAATTTATTAAAAAGATCGGGGGAATATTGTTTATCTCGAACTTCTGACAGAGGAAGAAGGTAAGGATGGGAACATCATGGGCATTCTAGAAGTCTCCTGCCCCAGCGTTCATGGTGCAGACAGTTGTCCTGGACGAGAAATTTCGATACGCGTAATAAATAGTGGGGGCTTAAAATCAATGTCAGTGTAGTACTACAATCTTGGCTCAGTTATATCATTGACAAATCTTGTTTTTCAAATTTCTTGTCACAAATAAAAAGTTTATTTATGACAAATGATTAAAAAGCTAGTACATTTGCTCCGAACGTTCTACATGTTACTACGAGAAATGAACACAGGAAATTAGGAGTATTATTTATGACCAAGAGTAATTTGTTAAATTTTTCATAGTACATATAAATCAATTATCATTATATGATTATTATAAAAAGCTAATAACTTGTTAATGATTATATAATTTGGCCTATCTTGTGCTACATACTTTTTTTTTGCTAGTATTTTTTTATTTTGAAATGTATATTTGTACCAACAAAAAATCAACATGGGGGCTTTTGCACACATAACCCATATCATAAAACTAAATAAAAAAATAACATAGCCTTTTTTAAATTTAAATAATAACCTTTTTAACATTTAGTTTATAATTAATTTATAAAAATGTCCTTTTAATATATGCTTTTTGCAAATATCAGAAGGTTCAAAATGTAAAAAATTTCTAAAACTGAACGCAATGAATGCGAGTTATATACAGTCTAAAATGACACTTTTTTAGAAGTGAATGCTAGAGAGAATATGGAATTGGATGTGAGAGAGGCAAACGCGAGACAGCAAAGTAGTGTGAGCGAACCATAATCACGATCATGAGAAACAAACACATGGTAAGATATATCAATGGTACTCGACAAAACGGAGCACGTCGGTGGAAAAATTGAGCTACAGATTCATGATTTTTTATTTTATTAGTTTAGGTATTTAACTCTTTGTGATAAATTAAGAGTTTAAAATTTTTTGTGTGCTATGTTTGATTTGTTTTGGGCAAATTATTATATGTTTTTCATGTTACTGATTCACGATACTACATTATTGATATACTGTTGTATATCACTAATATATTATCACAGATCAATATAACTAGACAATCAAACATGAACTTATATATATATATATATGTGTGTGTGTGTATGTATATATCAATGATATAGTATTACATATCAGCAACACAAAAAATACATCACCATTTGCTCAAAATAAATCAAATACAGTCCAAAAAAAATTCAATGTTATCAAAAAATGTAAAGATGGTGAAAATCTTATAATAGATAATAGATTCTAACCCAGTCTTCTACTTCTAAAAATGAAAATTCTTCTTCAATGTCTAATATCATTTTCATAGTGTTCCTAGAAAAATAGAGAGAGAGAGAGAGAGAGAGAAAGTTTTAGGATGAAAAAAACACTGACAATTTTGTATTTAGAAAAAAAAGAAAAAAATTAGTAAGTTAAGGATTCGTTACTATAGATATATTCTATTTAAATAATAAATTTAATTTGAGGATAAAAAGATAAAATATATCTAATAATTTTATGAATGAATTATATTTTAAAATATTTAAAAATTTTATTTATAATTTATGTGAGCCATATTTTGTAAGTACATTGAGCTAATTTCCTCATCAATATATATCTTTGTCATTTTAAAATGTCTACTTTATCGATAATTGCAAATTCTAGCTAATTTATCATATCAATACGTCCAACACTTGTTGATTATTTTGTTGATTTGTTTTTGAAAGCAGGCCTACGTTTTTGTAATAGATCTGGTCAACGCATAGGTCGTCGGATCAACATGCTAGTTATATTAAATACTCAAATAATTGTTCAATGAAGACAATTCAATTGTAAATTGTGATCCATTATCAACTCTAGATCTTCTTGATTCACAATCATTTCTCTCTTTCGATAAAAATATTTCTTCAACATTTTTTTCTTTAAATTATTTTTATGATGTTAATTGGCATTTTAATTTAAGATCTTGAGAGCTCAGAATTAACTAGATGATGACAGGAAAAAGAAAAATCATCTGTATATATAACCCACGTCTTATGATAATTATGTACTCTCCATATTTTCGAGATAAGAAAGCCTATTTTTTATTTGGTTACAAGAGAAAGCGTAACTTCTCACAACCTCTTTGGCAAAAAAAAAAAAAATCCTCATAATCTTATCACCTAAATTAGTTTTGATATATATATATATATATATAAAAGTCATTTTTAAAAAGACATTTATAGTTATTATTTTTATAAATCACTTTAGATTAAAAATATGTCCTTTTAAAATTTTTGATGAGTGGAGAGTAAAATACATTACTTTTAAATGATGCATTTAATAAGAAGAAGTTGGATTTTATTTTTTTAACAATATCAATAATTTAATATTATTTTCTTGATTGCAATAAATTAATTAAAAACGACTTGCAAATAAATCCCGATGGAGTAAGAGGGAGGCGACGGACAAGGGAAGGAGATTGGGAAGTATCTCGTCAATACAGCTTTATTAAACCAAGGGCTGGCAGGGAACAGGGATAAAGCAGTAGCATGACATCAGACACGTTGGAAGAGGAGCCATCAAAAGGCCTTTAGCGGATACAGGTCACATTGGGCCCCATTTGTTCCCAAAGCCTCCTTGGATTCTTCCAGAAACGTGTCCACATGGTCCACCCTCACTAGCTGCTGAATCATCAAGCAGAGTCTGGACCTTGCGTGAGGCATGCTGCCTGTTTGCATTGCCTCATTAATCGATTTTTGGACTAAAAATCGACTATTTAAAAAATTATTCAAACAGTCAATTTGTATGATAATTAATTATTGAACAAGAATAATGTTTTGAAATAAATTTTAAAAAATTATTTATAAATTCAATTTTATTATTAAATAATTTATTTTATTTTTTAAATAAAATTTAACAAATTTAATTTTAAAAAGTAATATTTTTTATAATAATTTATACAATCAAAATTAATTTTAATATTTCAACATATAGTATTATAATATAATTAATTATGATTAAAATTAATTATATTAATAAATTATTTTTATAATCAATTATATTTAATTAAAATTCAAGTGGAGTCAAAGGCTTTTTCAGCCACCACCATCAGGGTACTTGTGAAACAAAAAGTTGAGCACAGAATGACTGAAGGCTGGACATGGACGTTCACATGTCATCTTCTCAAGTAGGCTTGCCACTTGGGGTAATTATAATTGAAAAAATAATAATAATTTTTTAAATATATAAATGATAATTTAATATTTTAAAATTTTATAATTCTTTTAAAATTTTTAGAAACTTTTTTATCATTAATAAATTTATATAAATTATTAAATTATTTTTATTGAAAATAAATAATTCACAATTTTTCTTCTTATATTTATAACAATGCAACAGCACATAAAAAATTTTACATGTGAAATTATAATTTATTATTACATTGTTACGTATTTCAAAAAATTACAAATATAAAAAAATTATAAATCATTTATTTTTAAAAAGAATAATTTAATAATTTATACAAAATTTATTAATGATAAAAAAATTCTAAAAAATTTTAAAAAATCATAATATTTTAAAAGATTAAATTATTATTTATATATATTTTTAAAAAATTATTATCATTTTTCTTCCGTTACACTTCTCAGTTGGACGAGAAGGCACCTCCGCAGCCGGATGAGAGGTTTTCCGCGGGGACACACCAAGGACTGAAAGGGTAGGGGTGCAGTAACTTGTCCAGCTGAACTAGTCAAATTCCCATGACACGATTCTATTTTCTGTAAACAATACATCATAAATTTTGTTCCTAAATTCTAATTTTAATACTATGCACATTTCATTCAATAGCTTCCTCACAAGAACAAATTGCTCCAGTTTTTTTTCTCTCTAATTTAACATTTCTTCCTGGGAAGGGAAATGTCACACACGGATGCACGCTTACAAACATGTCAAAGCAAAGTTTGAATTGAGGTCACTAGAAGGAGAAAACAAACTGTAAACAAATAACTCCAATGTTATGATTTTTTGTAACAAAACAAATAGCTCCAATTAGAAGGAGAAAACAAAACGAACCCGCCCCGAACTAAAACACTTGATGTCAAGAAAGAAAGGTCTTGTCAACTGGTTGTAAAGCGATGATTGGATACTGATGGTGATCGTCTCCAAGTTCCTCTTTGAAGTTTGAACCATGGAGATCTTATCAAGAAATAAAAGTAATCAATTGAGTTCGTGGAGAACTAGAGAGAGGGCACTGCTGCTGCTGCTCCAGCCAGACACAGTGATTGAATCGAAACCAAAGAGCGTAGATCATTCAATGACGGCAGAAGAAATCGAAAGGCGTGCGTGGTGTGGAATAAGCCATGGAAAGTATCTTGGAAGCCACCATCGAATTTGCAGCCTCAGTGAAATGAATTCCATCCCAATTCACATACCGAGATCCTTCCCCACAGACCTGATAACCAGGTTGACCGCACGTCACTCTATTGTCAAAATTATAGGGAGGGCCTCCAAATCCGCAGCACGCCATCAATGGATTTGAGAAACCTGTTCACCAATACGATCACAAATTTCATCAACCTCTCACAATTCAGGCAAGGAAAATTATATAATTGAGAAGCGGAACACACGCTCACCATATTTGGCCGCATTTGTAATGAGGTCGAGCTTGATGGTATAGATATCCACATAAACTAAAGTAGCATCTTTCAGTTCCGTTCTTACTTTTTGATGCAGATGAAGCAGCGCTTCATTGAACAATCTTGCAGCACCATTATATCTGGAAAGACATCCGAGTGAATCTACAACCTTTGTTTGAGCCAATGAGATTAATTTAGGAAGACAGCCTACTGGTCCAGTGTTGTGAACCCAGAACTTCCTGGCACCTTCATTGTACAAACTCTGCATGTAGTAGCAGACACATTATTCACCATGAAAATTTCAAATCCTCAACTCGTGAAGACTTCTCTATCTTGAACAGATTTTTTTAAGATTGTGGAAGCAGCATTTTACTCGATAATTTTAAGAATGGTTGGACTGACCTTAACAGCACTCTCAATTTCTGCAATAACCGCTGGGATTCTCTTAACGACTTGCGAATATGAAAGGTTTTTGGCAAAGGAATCGGCAATGTCATTCTGTCCAATATCAATCACGTAGAGTGCATTTCGAAACCCGGCATCGTCGATAGAATTCCTTGCACCTGAATTAGAAGGATATGAATAGTTCACAAGCTCAGCATTCACTGAAATCTGATGGCAATATTGAAGTTAATGTATATGATCCAATAATCCGCTCGTCGATCAATAGTAAACTACTAGAATCATTAAAATATTCGTAAGACCAGAAAAATCGATATGAATACATATTATCGAGAAATCAATCATAAAAGAAAGAAGGAAAGAAAAAGGTCGAATTAATTCTTAAAAGAGGGGTCAGCAAGAGCGAGGGAAGTTTACCAGAAGCTACAAGTTCCAGGGTGCGAGCCTTGAAATGGAGGAACTGCATGATCTGGATGTTCAAAGCGAAAGGAACAAACGCAGGAAGGGTAGAGGACCCAACCACTGCAAAGTTGGCTCCATTTGAGAACGTGGATCCAGACAAGGCGTCCAGGTATGGGGTCAAAAGACTTGCATTCAAACTTTGACCTGCACATTTAACATTAACAACAGAAAATTAAAACTTAAAATATAAAACTATTTCCTCATCAATCATGTTTTTTTAAGTTCAGCTTTTTCTTAAATTGGATTGTTCGATGCGTCAAGGTTTTCTAGCTCCTCACACGTTGTTTTCTGCAGTATTAAATCGTCCCCATTTTTCAATCATTTTTTAAAATTTTAAAACAGGTTACCAAATTATTTCCCCCCGCAAAGGACATGCTTGAGTCCAGCGTGAAATATAGAATCACCAGTAATAGAATTCATAGCCGCAGATGAACAGATGTCTTCAGTGAGTTCATTGGATTGCCTCGCCGTTTTTCCTTTTTCCTTTTTCTTTTTACTTTTTAAATACTTGTGGCCCCGCTTCTTTGAGATAGCCCATGGAGTCGGTGGGATCAGTAATGGGCTTTGGAGAGAAATTCAAAAATATGGCCCAATTACTCAGACACCCAGACCAATGCCAACAGTGAACGACGTTCCTCCCAGACACCAGAATCTCTCTCTCGCTCATTCAATCCTTAATCAGCCGATCATTATCGCGTCATTTTTACTCTGAATATTTTGTCGGCGAGCAGAACACCACGAGCGACATGTCATAATCCCCAACCCCGATCTGTGGAGATGGAGGCGGAGATGTGACACTGTGTCTTTTTCTTTCTTTCTTTTTCTAAAAAACTACTATTACTCTTAACTTTCCTCGATTTCGAGCCAAATCGAACCAATCAGATACAGTAATTATACGCATACCAAACTGGAACAATTACGCATGAAGAGAGAGAAGAAGAAGAAGGCTTACAGAGAAAATCGATGATGAGGCGTCCATCGGACAAGCGACCGGTGGATCTGTGAAAGAAAGTGCGGCCATTAGGAAGATTGATGGGGAACCCGAGTCCGGAAGCGAGGCCTCCAGTGTCCGAGTTGGAGTCGCCGAACACGAATATGACGGCATCCTTAGTGCACTGAGCCAGGGCAGGAAGCGGAAAGGAACAAATGAAGAGTAGCTGCAAGGAGAGTGGAAGAGAGTGAAAAGCCATACTCACTGTTTTTGTGGGCTCGTCCGCGTCGCTTGGCTTCAAATTTCAAAGGGTAGATCTTTAAGTTCTTTTTTTTTTTTTTTTAAGTTACTGTATATGTGATTTAATTAAAATCCAGTAAAATTAGTAACTATAAACTTTCGAATCCCCGGCGCCAAGGGAATACAGGATATCATGGGATTTTAGGGCTTATTTGTTTTTTATTTCTAAAAAATGTTTTTTGTTTTTTGAAAAATTAAAAAATTATTTCAATAAGTGCTTTTAATTTGATTATTTTTAAAATTTTTTTATTCTTTGTTTTTAAAAACAAAAAAGTAGAAACAACTTTAAGTTGTTTTCATTTTAAAAATAAGTTGTTTTCATTTTTTTATTTTTAAAATTTAATTATTAAAAATTATAATTATCTTAATTAATTTTTATTATTAGTCACTATTATTAACTGCTTATGACTATAACTATCAATCTATTTTTTAATTCTAAACCTGTTTTTTAATTAACATAATCAAATGAATTTTTATCTTATATTGTTTTAACAACAATTTTAAAAATTATACTATAAAATAATTTTTAAAAATAAAAAATGAGAATAAAAATCAAATAGACCCTTAATCTTTCATGGGCATCTGGATTCTGGATCAGCCGATATTTCTTCCCGGTCTCTCAGGATCTCTTCCCCTGGGAGTGAAAAAAGAATAAAAATGAATGGAAAACTGTTTAATTTACAGTTTTTTTTTGCGGAAAATAGGTTTATCATCAAGCTCCTTTTGAAACAGTGAAGGTAACTTCAACTTGGTATCTCAAACTAATTTTTTTTTTTTACACTTTAAATAATATATTTTTCTATCAAGACATAAATTTAACTAAAACATAGGTTTAATGAAAGTTAGTGCCTGTTTGGCTTCATAAAATATATCCTCTCAATTTTAAACACAGAGTAGCTTTAATTACCTTATGGGAATCAATGATAAGTAATTAAATCATTAAATCAAAGTGGTTTTAAAATAAAATGAATTTTCAAGTAGACCAACATATTTTTTTAAAAAATCTAGGTAGTTATAAATAAGAGTGCTTTTAGAAGAATGTAATTAACAGGGGTTCATTTTTTTTAACAAAATAATAAGTATACAAAATATTCTAGATGATATAGGATGGTGGATAATTAATATATGATGACAAATTTGTCCTTTCTATGAACGATATTTTCGCAACACAAACGTACTTTAAAAACCAATGATATCCTCACTTATCGTTTTTCGGAAGCTCATCGTGCTGTACATCAAGAAGCACACCAGAACAGAATCCCAACACGATCTCGTCGAGAACAGGTTTTTGCTGACCAAGGATCGCCATTTAAGGGTACGAACTCGATGGAGGTGGGTACGACTCCACGAGTGACGGGGTGCATTACCGCAACCCAGATTCAAATTAGAGTTTTGGGTACCAGAAATGATATCGAAATACTTGCAAGAAGTTTTTGGGCCTATTTGAAATACAAGACACGCACAAATCGAAAAAATAAAAGCAATTTTTAGTAAAAAAATTTTATATTAATAAAGCTCTCATTTCCTAAAAATACATTATTACCTAAATTTAATATTTTAAAATATAAAACACTTTGATAAATATAAAATTTTATTAATAATATTTTTAATATTACTCTTTTCATATTTTTTCTCTTTTTAATTTTATTTTATAAATGAAGTATTAAATAAAGATTATTTATTAATATTTTTATTTTTATTTCAAAAAAATAAGGTTATAAAGGATATTCAATGTACTTTATTGACATTTGTAATTTTATTTAAAAATATCTTATAAAATGAAATAAAGGACTGTTATTTTCCTTTTTTGCCTCTAGTCTTAGTTAACAATGTGTTTCAGGATAAGTGGAAAATAAATTTACATAAAAATTTAGATTAATAAATATAAAAAATAAAATGGATAAAAATTTTACATGTATGAAATTGTTTATATTTTAAATTAAAATTAGTTTAATAAAAATGTTTATATTTTAAATCCAGGGAATACTTTAAAAGATAGTTTAAATTGAAAAGATAAGCAACGTTCCATTTTTTTTCTAATATAATGTTTGAACCTATGATATGTTAATTAAATAAAATATAATACTAAATACATATATGAAATAAATTCACAGTATTTTTATTTGTTAATAAAATAATATAATATGACAGGTGAATCTTATTATATTATACGGATCTCCTCCTAACGTGCTGCACCGACTCCCTCCATGTGTCATATCCACCGTTCAATAAAATCCAACGGTTCACAGTCGGTGGCTGTGCAAGGCGTCACACCATTTCAAGTCAAAGAGAGTCCCTAACAACACTGATTATGAAAAAGCACGGCCAAATTTTTCTGGGATTATTTAAAAAAAATAAATTCTACCACGTGCAAACGCAATCTCAGGAATCAAACACTTGATATCATTATTTTTTTTATGACAATATCATTTATTAATTAATATATATTATAAATGAACTGATCTCTTTGTCCCAGATCAAAATGTGCGCTGGCCGAAAAAAAATGCCAAAGTAGGGGTGTTTATAGGTTCAGTTTGGTTTGATTTTGAACAAAAACCAAACCGAACCGAACCAATCGGTTTGAGCATTAGTAGGACTTGATTGGTTTCAACTAAAATTGGTTTGATTCGGTTTTTGTTTCGATTTGGTTTGATTTGGTTAAGATTTGGATCAAGTTTTAATGACTTTTTTTTCTTTTTTCCTGTCTTTATAATAGTTGGACTTTTTTTATTTTGAATTGATTTATGTATTATTAGCTCTTTTATTGTATGGAAGGTTCTTACTTATCTTGTGCTTTATTTCAATCACAATCATAATATATTTATGGAAATTAGAAAGTTTTTAAACTTTGATTAAATACATATCATGTGCATACATGTTCATCTTTTTTTTTTTTTTGCTTGGTCTCAAATGTATCAAAGAAAAAAAAAAATATGTTCATATCATATTAACCTTATTCATCTCTTCATTTCATTGATCTTGAATGTACTATATATTCATGATCTTATCAATCTTCTTTTCTCGTCCAATATATATATATATAATGCAAATTAATTTTGTAATTGTAAGCAGCAATAAATCAAAATAATAATGATCAACTAATCATATTCATAATTATATTAGATACATTATTTGGATCTTCATAGAGAAAATTTATCACCTAATAGCAAGTAGCAAACATACAAATATCTAAAGATTAAATATTCAAAATTTCAAATATCACACTATTTAATATTAATACATACACCTATAGTTCCATAAATATATATATTCAAAACATAATATCCAATATCTATCTCTCAATGTCATAATATCCATTTAAATTATATCAACTCCCTGTTATCCAAAAAAAACTTATATATTTAATTAGATACATATTATATAAATAAATATTACTTTTAATCAAACTTTGTTTAAGTTTGGTTCGGTTTTCATATCTCAAAATCGAAATCAAACCAAACCAATTGGTTTGTGTGTCATAAAAATCAAAGCAGATTTTATCAATGGTCGGTTTTGATCGGTTCTTTTGGTTCGGATCGGTTTGGTTTGGTCTGCTCGGTTTGGATCGATTTTGAACACCCTTACAAGAAGGCAGTGGCAGAGCTAGGACGGAGACAAAGACAAGGGTGCGAGATATTTTAATAAAAAAATAATATTTTTAAAAATAATAATTATAATGTGGAACTAAAATCATAGTAATATGGTTTATCAAAAAAAATCATAGTAATATAAGGATAAATTAATCAAGTGGCCAGAAAAAAATCTTATACTCAGAAGATATAAATCAAATTTTTAAAAATTGGGTAATATGGATGGCTTATATTGAGACATAAAGAGTTTATTTAAAAATTTTAAAATTTATAAGAGATTTATCATTCATATACATCAGCATATCATTGACAAATATAATAAATAAGTTATAATGTAAAATATAATAAATGTTGTGCCGTTTGCTTGATTTGATCTTAGATATAAATCGATTGATTATCATTTTTTTAAAAAAATATACTGAATAAGTTGCTGTGATTTTTTATATAAATCGTTAAATTATTTTATTTTTAATAAACTTTTAAACTTAAATATTTTTTTATTTAGTCTAGATTCAAAATATTAAAAGAAGATAGTGCAAGATTATAAAATTTATCTATCATACTGTGATATTTCCCGAAGTGAGGAATGCATTTGCTATCCTTGCTACCATGTGGCTCCGCCATACCGCCGCACCAAAAAGGGCCTCTTCTTGTGGACCATTGGATCTAAACAAACCGTGCAAATAGATGATAGAGCATGGGAATCACATTCACATGTTGTGAATTTCGTGCCGCGCGAAGTAAGTGGGAGAATCTTAACCATTTAATCTATCTAATGGTTAAGAAAATATGGATGTATAAAAAAATCTAATCTTTTGCAAAGCACACAAACCTTTTTTTATATTCTTTAAAACCTAATTTTACATAGTTTTTTAGGTTTTGAATTGTGAAGTATTTCTCTAGTTATGTTTATAAATCACTTTTAATGTGTTTAATCAGAATTAAAAAAAATTTAAAACCCATTAACTTTATCTAAAAATTTAATAAGTTCTCAATTTTATTCCTATTTAATATGCATATTTTAATAATACATTTTTTTCTCTAACATTCAATAGAGAATAAAGAAGTGAATTTGTGATAAAAATTTATTAATATAATTTATAAATAGAATAAAAAAAATCTTGTCTTTGTTTATAAATAGAAGTAAAGGGAATAAGTTTTTTGGTGTTAAAATAAATAAATTCTTTTATTGTAGAAAAATGTTTGTGTGCTTGATGATAAAGTTTTTTATGCGCCCCTCTCTTTTCAATCGTTACATACAATGGATAGTTAAAATCCTTTCACTTTCCACTGCACCATTCACTGCATGTGATCCGAGTGTATGATTGCAAAGAGTGTCAGCCGTCAGGAGAGGATGCACACAAATCTCCTAATAAGACAATTTATTT